CCCCAAAACCCCAAAACCCCAAAACCCCTTAATTTCTTAAAAAATTGAGGCTAAATTTTATATAATTAAAAGAAGGAGTTGCTATATAATGGATCCTAAAACTACAACTGGTAAAGGAGAGCAACCAATGAGTACTAAAGGTGGCAAATTCTTTAAGCCTTCACAAACAGATGTAAGTGCAGGCAATTTTTTATCACAAGAAATTTCTTGAGTTCTTATTTTAGATTATTTCGTCTTCGTTCAAAGTGAATACAAGATATTCCACCATAAATAGGTGACTGGAGTTGATTAATGCTTAATTTTACATTATGGCTTTTATAATTCAGAAAAACAGTTTGTAAAACATATTCATCATGGAAAATTTATCAATTTAAAAAGAATTGAATCAGATTGTTATTTTATTCTATTTTTCTTTGTGTAGGGATTTAATATCTTTGCTTTCATTTGTTAAAATTGTCCACATAAAAGTATTCTCTCATAAATTATCTTTTGCTAGACAGATTTCCATATTTGACTATCTAATTTATAGGCAACGAAGAAAGAAACTAAAGGAAAGGAAAGAGATTTGGTAAAATTCTCAATGGGTGGAAATAGTACCAAATTACAATTCACAGACGATGGGACTACATATAATCAATTCACAAAGGAAAGCTCTTTCAAAGATTCATATTACACCACAGAGGTTGACGAAAGCAAATTTAATGATGAACAAAAGAAGAAAGCAGCTCTTATTGAAAAACAAATTAATAATGAAAAGAAAGGCATAAAAAATAATGATCTTGAGAATGACGATGAAGAAATGGATAATTCTCGTCCCCCAAAAACTCAGAGTTATGATCAGTTTATAAAAGAAAATAATGTTGTCGACGTGATGGAACTTGAGAGAAATCTTTCAGCCGCAAGCACTGATTTGAAAAACCAGACAACAGATATTGAGCTAATGAAAAAGGAATCTCAAAAGAGTATTAATGATTTTGAAATCGAAGAAATGGGAGGAAATGCAAGCATCCCAATTAACAATACTGAAGAAAAGGATGATCAGACACCAAAAATGAAATTACATTCAAGAGAATTTACTCCAAAAAGCTCAAAACCGGACCAAAGTTCCTCTAAAAGCATTGATGAATTTGAGATAACAACTGGATCTGCTCCAGAAAAGAAAACTACTGCTCCAAAATCCAATCTCAAACTCAAACCTACTACCAGAACCTTTAAACCTTCAGGATCAACTCTCTCAAAACCATCTAAACCCTTCATTCCATCCTCCAACTTATCTCAATCAACTGCTACTCCATACCGTCCTCCTCTATCACAACCACCTGTTCAGAACTATCCTCCGGCTACTCTTCCCCAAGCAGCTGCTCCAAAAACCTTCTATCCTAAAGGCAATGAGTAAGTTCTACCTGCACCTTAGGCTCCACCCTTGATTCCAAGGGCATTAGGGCCGACTCCATAGCTCAACGCTTATTGATATAGATCCTTTAAGAGGCCATCTCAGTCCTTGAGTAGTTATACAGGAGGGGTTACCCCTTCTGCAGTTGACCAGAATGTTTACCAACAGACACAGGGCATCCATGCAAGTCAAAGACAGATTAAGATATCAAGGTATTATAGCTTGAAACAGCAAGTTAGTATGGAAGAGTTCTTCTGATTTGAAACTTTCTATAATGAAAGTAAGAGAAATGGCTTTGTAGAGTCTATTCAGAAAGCTAAAGAATTTCAGATGAACAAGAATAATCAGAATAACCAAAATCAGAACCAATATCAGAACAATAGTTATTCAGGGTATCCCAGAGGCTCACAGGCAGCTTCATATCAAAATGGAGCCGATTATAACAACAGAGGAGGGACTCATGGAAGAGTATACTAAATCTTAGCAGTCGAAATTTTGATATGGTTCTGAAGTCAATAAAAGTCTCTAGATTGGGGTTTTGGGGTTTTGGGGTTTTGGGGTTTTGGGGTTTTGGGG